TGTCATTGTCGGCTCCTAAGCCCCAGCCAGGTTAAAAGTGGAGGGTTGCATTAGGTAGTCGACAATCAATATAAAATTTGTCGAAAATCATGGTCTCAGCCTAACACATTTTAACGCTAAGTATTGAAGTTATTATTATTAGTTTGCAATTATATGGAGTCTGATAAGTTTTCAGTTTCTAACCTCGTTGGTACTAGGAAATTTAAATGTGTTATATTAGACAATTTTATTGTATTGAATTATCTAGATGGATATTTTATTAGCGCTCCTTGCCTTTATTTTTTTTAGCACTGTCATTGTCGGGTCTTAAGCCCCGGGTGAAAAGTAGAGGGTTGCATTAGGTAGTCGACAATCAGTGTAAAATTTATCGAAAAATTATGACATGAATCCTTTAGATTCTTGTGTAAATTCTAGGACGTTCGCTGAAAGTGATATGTTGTATGACTTGAATACAGTGAAAAGTATGCAAGGGCCGCTATACCAGTGTCCGGGTGTAAGTTCAAATAAGCAAGAATTCCCACATTACAGATGAATACGGTAAAGAGGTTAGTTCATGAAACTAATATTATGATAGGATCGCAGAATATAGGTATTCTCACAGGTAAATTAATGAATTAGTTGATATTATTGTTCATAGGAAGATAAATTTCTTATGTATTCAATAAATGAGTTAAAGATAAGACTGAGGAGATTGGTAGCTTAGATTTTAAAAATTGGTATTCTAGTAGGAGTCGCACTGAAAATAGTGTCGGTTTAATTATAGATAAGAGTTTGAAAGATAGTGTTGTAAAAATTAATAGAATTGTAGATAGATTTATAACCCTTAAGATTATGTTGATATTAAGATATTTAATGTTATAAGTGTTTATGCTTCTCAAGTAGGTTTAGATATAAGTTCTAAAGAAAAAAAATTGTAATGACTTAGAAGAATTCTTGAAGAAATAATTTTTATTGGAGGAGATTTAAATGACACTTTGGTAGAGTGATAAATGATTTTAAAATATTCATGGTGGCTACGATTTGGAGTGATTAATGAAGAAGGTAGAGCTATATTAGATTTTGATTTAACATATAATTTTATTATTGCTAATACTTTATTTAAGAAAAGAGATGAATATATTATTACTTGTAAGAATAGATCTAATAAAACACAAGTTTATTTTTTTTTATGAGAAGAAGAAATCTTCGAGAATGTATAGATTGTAAGGTGATTTCAAGTGAGAATTTAAGTACCCAATTTTGGTTATTAGTTCTGAATTTTAAGATGAAGAGTTGTAAGATAAAAAATATTTGGAATCATTGTCATAAAGTTAGATGAGGACACCTAAAGACAAATAAAATTATTTTATAAGTGAACTTTAAGATTTTAAGATTTGGGATGTTCATGAATAAACAAATTCTATGCGAGATAAAGTAACAAACACTATTAAACAAGTGATAAAAAATGTAATTGGAGAATTAATAGGAAAAATTTCTATAATTAAAAGTAGTTGATAGTAGAATACTAATGTGTAAGAAAAGATAAAATATAAGAAGCTGTGTTATAAAAATTAGTTTAAATGTAAAAGCTTAGAAAATTGGAAAAAATATAAGGGGCCCATAGGGAGTCCAAGAGAATAATTTTTGATGTTAAAAATTTTCATTTCATATTTATAATTGATTAGATACTAAATAGGGTGAAAAATATATGTATAAACTAGCCAAACAAAGAGAAAAGAAATTTAAAGATTTAACTCAAGTAAAGTATTTTAAAAATGAAAATCAAGACATGCTTTTCTTAAAGGAAAATATTCAACATCGGTGAGTAAGTTATTTTGATAAAATTTTCAATGAAGTTTCTAAAAATATGATTGATTTTAATGATTTTAATATTGTTAATATTGATAAAATATTTTATTTTTATGTCTCATTAGTAAAAATGAAGTTGAGAAGGCTTTAAAGAAAACCAAGGGTAAAAAATCAGGACCTGATGATATCCCAATTGAAATTTGGGAATATTTAGGAGATTTGGAGTTTCTTGGCTTACTAAACTCTTTAATATTATTTTACAAACTAAAAACGATGACTGAGGAGTGGAGGAAGAGTATTTTGGTTCTCATTTTTAAGAAAAGGGGATGCACAGGAGTGTGCAAATCATAGGTGAATTAAGTTGATGCGTCATATTTTAAAATTATGGGAGAGGGTAATTGAACATAACTTAAGACGTGTTATAAAGATTTGTCATAATTCATATGGATTTATGTCGGGCAAGTCTACAATGGAAGCTACAAATTTATTGAGAAGTTTGATGAAGAATTACAAAGAGGAGGATTTACATATAATTTTTATTGATTTAGAAAAAGCTTACGATTAGAAAAAGATTTAGAAAAAGCTTACGATAAGGTTCCAAGAGAAGTCATTTGGAGAGTTCTAGAGAAGAAAGATGCCGATATGACTTATATTTAAGTCATTAAAGATATGTATGTTAGAGCTGATATTTGTGTTCGAACAGAAGGAGGATTGACCAAGTATTTTCCTATTACAGTTAGACCACATTAGGGATTAGTTTTATGCCCATATTTTTTTTGTTTTAGTTATGGATGTTCTTATTGGACATTTAAAGGAGGATGTACCTTGGTGTATGCTTTTTGCTAATGATATCATTCTTGTGGATAAGACGAGAGAAAGAGTTTTGGATAAACTTGAATTATGCAGGTCTGCATTGGAGTCTAAAGGCCTTTCGTTTGAGTAGAACCAAAACTGAATTCATGGAATGTAATTTTAGTAGTAGTAGCTCTAGTGACAAAGTTGTAACTATGGGTGAATTCATGGAACGTTTTTGATATTTTGGGTCTATCATTTAAAGTGATGGTGATATAGATGGGGATGTTATTAGTGGAATCCAAGATGATTGGTTGAAGTGGAGGAATGCATTGGGCTTATTGTGCGATAGAAAAGTACCACTTAGACTGAAAGGAAAATTTTATACGAAGGTTGGCCTTTAAAAGAGAAACATAAAACAAAGTTAAGTGTTGCTGAAATGAGAATGCTTAAGTGGATGCATGGATTAGCACTTATAGACAAAATGCGAAATGAATATATCCGTGATAGTGTGGTGTAGCTCCAATGACGGACAAGTATAGAGAGAGTCGTCTTATATGGTTAGGTCACATTAAACGTCGACCATCTCATGGTCCGATTAGGAGGGTAGATGTTTTATATTTGATTTATGTTAAAAAGATAGAGGTAGATCTAAAAAGACTTGGGTTTATTGTATAAAAAAGTATCTTAATTTATTATAAAATATGCTCGCAATAGGATGTAAAGGAGAAAAAAGATTCATGTAGCCGACCACACTTGGTAGGATAAAGGCTTGTTGTTGTTGTCCTTACCTTCTTTTTTTAAAGTTAGGTTTAATAAAGGACTTCTAAAAGCATTTATCTTTGTTACTTTAGCTCTATTCCCCCATTCCATCCTATTATGCATTTACATAATTAAATATTTAGCATTGCAAAGACTTCCTCTTTTATTTTTTTGATTATTTACAATTTGACTTATCCCTTAGCATCATGCCACTCTATGTTCACAGTGGCATAATGCGTCTGGTGACCCTCTTACCAAGTACTATCATATGAGAATTCAATTATCAGAACTTTGAAAATCAAACATATATTAGTAATTGTATATTGAAATGAGTCCACCTCGATGAGGCACTTGCATATGCACTGATAATTAAGTCATAGTTGAACACATGCTACCATTACATTTTTGTTAGCATGCGTATATTGCGAAATTTACCTCTGAATAAATTTTAAATTAATTTTGAATCCTTTTTCATTGTAAACTTACCATCATTAGCAAGTCTTCGTCTGGACCGCTTGCTCCAAATATAACTTAGTTTTGCTTCCTATTTTAAATTTCGATTTGAGTTAGCCTAAGGCTCAAGGATTCCAATCATGTTTGGGTTGGTAGATTGGATTTAACTATTTAATCCTTTTAACCATAGGAACGGAGTAATGATGTAAAATGACAGGCCTCAGGAAAAGATAGAAGAACATTATTAACATAATATATCTTGAATGACCACATTTATATTAGCGAACACAAACTAAAAGAAATAAAACAATTGGTTGAGTCATTTATGATTCGAATTCAAGACCTTGACAACATTTTTTGAAGGTCTTCACTCTTTTTCCCATCCAATTAGTGACAGTATGTAGAATATGAAACATAACTTTGTTCAAGTAACAGCCATTTTTTTAAGGCATGGGCCATGAATCAAAATTTAAACATGTCATGATGTTGTGCTGAGCTAAACAAATTTATGATGACAGGCGAAGTCTGCATTTAAGTAGGATAATGGCTGACAGAGTAGACAGTATTAGCTTTTGCTATGATTAAAATTACACTTATTTGTTTTCTTTGGCTTTTTAATAGATCTTAGTATCTCACAACGAAAAAATCACTTGCAACCAAAATAGGGACGAAATGAGAATCTTAGGTTAGATACATCATAGAACTTGGTGTTCATGATGAGAAATAATTATATCAGAGGACAATTGTAGTAGCATCTATTCAAGCTAAGGTAGCGAGTAATGGAATTTAATGGATTGGGCTTACACAATTGAGGACTAAAGATGCACTAATAAAGCAAATATATGGAATTATTGTGCAAGCTTTATGAAGATAAAAAGTTGACCAAAGTTGATATGACATGAATTTTATGCCTATAGGCATCCTCAAAATACTATAACATCTCAGGTATCTCTCATGAGGAATGGAGAAAAAAATTATGAAGCTAACCGCAAATATTTAAAATAATACTAATAATGGTACTTAAGACATCTACTTTTCACATTTAAAGCTTTTTTCTTTTTCAAACAAGAGGAACTTGTAATTTATGAAGATTATTTTTAACATTTCCATCTTAATCTTTTGATTCTGTTTCAGTTATTTCTTCTGCTTTATGTTTTAGGTTGCATCATTGTCATTCTGTTACAAAGATGCCATTGCTTATGCAGGTCCTACTATTCTGTTTTTCCAAGAAAATGCTGGCAGTATCCTGGAGATTTTTCTTCTTTTCATGTCTCTTTGAGTGTGTAAGTGTGCTTGTGTGAGGGAAGGGTATTTATTAATCTGGTATTGCCCTGTGCAGCGTTCTGTTTTCTACCTTGACTATCTCATATAGATATTGCTCATCGTCTTGAATGTGTTCGCATCATGATTCAGAGGCTCCAATGTAATGTTTTTTTGCTATCTTACCGAGGGTATGCCTTCTCCCTGCTTCTATCTCCGTGCTTTTAGATGGTTCCGTTGAGTGGTTTTTTTCTAGGGGCATTTACATACATACCACTTATTTCCTTTGTATTTACACATCTAACACCCAAACTTTACTTCTAACATTTATACCATCACATCGCAAATACGACTGACCTTTGAAAAGTGAAATATACCTTTTTATACATAGGTAAGGTTGAATACATGTATAAACTGGAATTAAGGTTTTTGATATGTAAATGCATAGGAATTGAATGGTATGTATGTAAATCTTCCTTTTCTTTATCCTTATTACTGGTGTTTGGTACTCAAGATCATTTTTTACATGTCCACTCATAAAGATACGGAGCTAGCGATGGTGATCCATCTCAGCATGGCATTATCATGGATGCTCAGGTTTCTTCTTTTGATCTTTTCGCTTTTGCAGTTTTGAAACTTGATACTTTGATTTTTAAGTTCTATTTTGGTTTTCTTTCTTTTTACCGTTGCCAGGCAGCATTGGATCATCTCTTCCAAAGAAGTGACATTGATACGTCAAAAATAATTGTCTTTGGAAGATCACTAGGAGGTGCTGTGGGGTCAGCCCTTGCAAAAAACAATCCTGATAAGGTTTGTTCTCTGAAACTTTTGGTTTTTATATTGTTATCCTTAAAGATGGCTTGATAATATAATATGGAAACGTAGAAAGATTATTTGATTGTTAGTATTATAAATTTATAGGCCATATAATGCTCTTTACAGTTTAGCTCATTCGGTGTTTACTTGTTGTCTTATATTCGGGATTCCTGGGTTGCTTAGCTGCGAAGATTCCTAATATTATTTGCTTATTTTTTATGTTCACAGGATAGTCTGTGTCAAGTATACTCAAATGGTGTTTTGCTTACTTTTTCTAAGTTGATCATGGCCTATGACCATGGGTCAACAAAATTATGGGATCTTGATTGGATTCATAATCATTCTTCACGTCATTAGCTCTGAGCCTACAGTGATAAATTTCATAATTTAGAGTTCTAATTACTGCTACCATACATTGAGCGATCAACACTCTAATGGCTAGCTTTAATCAAAAGTGTTTTTTTGTTATCAAGGGAAGTTAATTAACCATAGAGGCTTGTGTCTTTGGAAAACCTCAAAACCCCCAAATCTTAAAGGCCTTACAAAATGAGGGGAAAATCTGGTTGTCTTATCTATTTCATCTATCTTTTCAAAATTTGAGCCAGAACTTCAATTTGAACTCTCTCAATCATAATCTTCGAGGGAGGTTGGAGCACGAATTTTTGAAGCCCATTGTATGCTTGATTATTAGGAGGTCACATTGGGCATAACATTGAGCTTTTGATGCCCAAAGGTTATGCTCAACCACCCAAAAGTGGCTTTATTCAAAGTGCAGTTTTTGAGGCTTAGAGTGTATGTTCACTCGTTAGGAGGTTACGTTGGGCTTCTAAAGTAGCGAGGCCATGCTTACTTGCATTGAGGTTGCCCAAACGTTTTTTTTATTGATATTCTGAGGTTGGAAACTATGCTCAATTATTAGAAGGCCTCATCAAGCTTTTAAGGCTTGAATGCTATGCTGGGGCGTGTGATGAATTTGGTTCTAGTTCTGTGCTTTTTCAGCAATTTGCAACCCTTGATTTCTTGCAATTCCAATTACTGTTTCATGTTTTATTAGACAATTGATGAAAATGATTTTCTATGGCATGCAAAAATCTTTTATCGAAATTTATCAAAAAATTAAATAGCATGTTCGCATAAATGTTTGCAAAGAAGAAAAGAAAATTTTTAGCTAGTCTTCGTGCTACTTGGCTTGGATCATGGAGTTACGGTGCCTTTGGTCAAGTCTAGGCGCTTGCTCTGCTCAAGCTCTACTCGGTCCCTTATGCTATTAACATATTACTAGAAATATTCTGCATGAAATTTCAGTATATATATA